TTTTAAATTTTGAAATTGTTACTCAGTTTTTACATCTTCTATTGTAGCAATCCTCTGCAGAAAGTATATAGAAAAAGGTTTTTTTTTTTCTTTTTCATATTGATTAATTTCTAAGGAAAACTTTATACGTCACAGTTTTATTTAGCCGATCAGACAGGCGTATGAGATGATCTAATTTAGGCATGCTTTAGAAAATATTTACTGTTGCTGCTTTTCCAATATGAGAAATTTTCAAAATTAATTTTTTCCAAAGCTTTAATTTAAAATTCTTATTTTTGTATTTTTTCAAAAAGTTTTTAAATTTTCAGATATGCATATTCATCTGAGCTTTTTTTCATTTCTTTTCTTTTGAAATTTCTTATAATTTCATTTCTTATAATCTTTTCTTTCGAAATCTCTTATAATTTGTCAATCTTGAAAGTAAATTAAAAAGATATAATTTCATGTTCTTATTCACTCTTTCAAAGCGCATTAGTGTAGTGTTGATTGTTTTTTTCTTCCTCATATTATTTTAATTTATAAATAAATAAATATCATTCCTTTTTAAATTTCGCCCTGAAGATCTGTTGTGTTGGATCATCATGTAGTTCACTTCATGATATGCTGTGAAAATACAGTTTTAATCAAACTTATAAATATAAGGCAGTTTTATGCTACACCTTTAAATTTTATTATGGAAATAAAAAAAAAAAAGCTCAGTAATGAACACTATCGGGACAAAAAAAAGTAAAAAATAGTTTTTATATTTCTGCTGTTTTGATTTGATATATTACAGTATCATATTTATTCCTTTCCTCTATTGTTCCTTTCGTAACAATAAAATCGTCGTTAAATTGTGTCAGATTTATATTTGCATAATTCACCTAATATTCCGGAAATTTGTAATTTACTGAATATTGCGAGAGTTTGTTAATTCACTAGGTATTTCGGGAGTTTGTATGAAATTTTTCTGTTCCAATTTTTTCTTATAACTTTATTAGAAATCAATAAAGTATGTTTGCTAATCCATATTCTATATAAATTTCTTATGCAGTTTATTCCGCATTTTCCGAAAAATCTTTTTTTTTTAATCTCATTTTACGGCATCCATCTAATATAGCAATAGCATAACCGCTCTTACCATTTTTCCAAATTGCTAAATTTCAAGCATTAAAAAATTTCATCGTTGTATTTGATAAATATTTTGAACTCATTGTTATGAGTTTAATTTTAACCGCTTCTTAGTAACAATATCATTTAGTACGATTTCACTTTCAAATTACTTTTTACTACCATATTTTCATACTTTTTCCTAATGTTGTTATAGCAAGAATTTATTTTGTTTAACAGATGTTACCATTTATTTGCTGTTTAGATTTGATATAATTGGTTGTACTGTGTTATTGTATTGATAACATTTTCATCTGATAATTAATTAGCTTTGCTAATTTTTTATTTTAGTTAATTTCTTTATTTTAATTTTTTTTATTCCATAATTTGTACAGGTTGGATAATTTATATTGCTATTATAAATTTTTTAATTTTATTTCTAATATTTTAGTCATAATCAGTCAACTTTAGCAACGTCAAAATTTATAGATTATTCACCAATTTTATACTTTTAATTTTAAAAGTTGATTAATTGTTCTTTCATTCATTCATTACTTTTTTTTCATTTCTTTAAGTTAAGCTCATTTTTGCAAACCTTACTTACTTCAACTAATAAAAACATCGTTAAATGATCTTTAGCTTTAACAGCGTATCTCATTTTTTTTTTTTGATTAATTTTATCATCACATTAATATGAGATAATTTTACATGTTTACCAATCCAATCTCTCTAATTTTTATTGAATGCAGTACACATGTAATTTCATTAAATCGATTCTTTGTAATATTAATTTAATGAAATTACTTATGTACCATTATTCTGTTAAATAAATAGTAATACTACACTAAATTATCGCCGATTTCATATTTCTAATTTGTATTTCTAATTTGGAGAGCTGATTAATCATTCATCTATTCATCCATTATTATGCGTATAATATTATCATAGTCATTTTTTATTTCATTTTAAATATTCCTATTCTCTTCACATATTATAATCGAATATTTCAATTATATCTCTTTCGGTGATATTTGAATCACTTTTAAATTAACATTATTTACATTATTGCTAAATAGCCAAGCGATATTATGTATATTGAATACACCAATTCTTTATAAACTCTTTCGGTGATATTTAAATTACTTTTAAATTAACATTATTTACATCATTACTTTATCTTTATACCTTTACCTTTATAAGCATATTCAATTTTTTTTAATATTTTATTTAAAAAAAGATGATAATATTATTCTTGAAACATTTCTCGACTCTTTTCAGCTGATCCAAGTTCATTAGCTCTTTAGTCATTTAAATTATGGTATCATTAGCCATTTAAATGAAAAAACTATTTCTTTCACAGTTCAGCTGTTTTTTTATCAACCTTTTTCTTATTTAAATGTTTTTTCAAACTTAAATAAAATATTTTTTAATTCTTGATGCTTTCCTAATACAGTTGGAAATTTTAAAAATTCTCAAATTCTTGTTGATCCATAAATTTGCAACTCTTAGTTTAATTTTTATGTTATATTTAATGCGTATATAACCTGTTATTTTACATTTAAAGAAATACTCTTATAATTTGTCAATTACTAATTGTCTCCAAAAAACTTCGGTAGTTTCTTTCTTCTTCTACTCATTAAAAATACATTTGTTTTTTCTTGCAATTCAAATTAATATGTCAAATTGAACTTTATGTCTTTTCATAGTTCAATTGTCCTTTCATTTACCATCATGTCATTCTAAGTGCAAACTATTCAAGTTTGTTTTTTCCTCTTTTACATAATTCATCTGATCTAACAGAAAGTTAGCATTTCATAGCTTTTTTAGTTCCAAATCATTGAGTGTAATTTTGAAATCCGGTACATTCATCATTTTAAGACTTCTTTGCCATTTTTAAACTCAAATTGCTATTCCCATGATAGCTTTTGGAAATGCTACGCTTTACAAACTTTCCTACTAGGAGCTTTGTAATGTTCTTGCTAATTATTTCAAAAGAAATTTTTATTTTCTTTGACTAACTTTTAATATAATATGTAATCTCACATTTTTTTCTTTTCTTCAATTTCATTTATATCTTTTGCTGTCATTTCCATTTTCATTTTCATATTCTCGTGTAATTTTCCATCAAGTTCAGTTTTTTTTTTTCCAAGGAGAAGAATGTTTTCATAACAATTTTTATTTCTCTTCTTCTTTTCTTCGATATTTTTAGTCTGTACAATTCTCGAGCAAAAAAAAGAGGAAGGAATTTTGATGGTGATAATGAAGGTGGAATAATTATATGATTATTATTCATTATATAGTTGAATTTTCTCATAAAAGAAGCCAAAAAAAAAAGTGTTAACTGAGAAAAATAGGTGAACTTCAAAAAAATAGCAAATTTTATCCTTATGAAATTTAAAAATTAAAACATGTTCGAAAATCAATAGTCAACCTATCTACTGCTCCCTTTTCTTTCATCATATTGCTATATATATAATAAAAAATATCAATAAGACGAGTTAGTGGCTCTTTGAATTGTTTATCATTGGCGTACTTTTTCTATTTTATGTTGACAAATTTGATTTAAAAAAAAAGGAAAAAAAAAGTTCAGCATTATCATATTCACCGCTGCTAAAGCTTTTATCATTATCACTGTTATCAGCATTTTTAATCATATATCACTGTAGTAAGACATATATGTGCTATGGCATGAAAGGCGTTTAGCTTCTAATATCGCTTAAACATTTAAACTGTTCTCATTTCAATTTAAAAATCCCGATATAGTTATTGGGATTTTTTTATTCCATAGCATTTTTTTTTTTGTTCCTCATAAAATTTTCACATGAAAAATATAATTATTTGTTTTTCACTTTTCATAGACTGAGAAGAAAGTAGCGAAGAATTTGATGATCCCAAAAAATTTTGCGCAAATGATAGATACGTATTAATATATGAAAAAAATTTTTTTGTTTATTCCTTTTGAGATCATCTCTTTTTGTTTTTTTGCTTTATTTGTTTATTTTAGCGTAATTCCAATCATATTCCTCTTTGCATCTCATCAGATTTTGATCTTTAAACTGTCGTATCATATGACTAACATCACTATTTCATAAATAGCAACAAACCGGAAATTCATCACAGCATTTAATCCTATTTGACTAATATTGGCTTGAAAATCCTCTTCCGTCCTATCTCTTTCATTTGCTATCATCAAAATAATAACAAAGTAGTGGACAGTTGGGTATTTTCATTCTTTTTTATGAAATATTTTAAATAAATTAAAATACTTTTATTAGTATTTTTTTTTTGTCAGAGATAATATTGATAATGAATGAAAAGTAATTGTTGTTCATTTTCTTTTTTAATTTAATCAAAAAAGAAGCGAAATTAGGAATTCGTACCGCGATCATAGCTCATTTTTATATCTTTTTTTTTTTTAATTGATTTAGGAATTAGTATCGATTATATCCAATCTTTCTATTGCTGGATTATATTCAGTGTTGCTATTGCTATTAAGTTGATGATCGATTTATGAACAGTAGAGTAGATTGATCTTATAAGTAATAGATCGATCCGATGAGTAGTAGATTGATTTTATCAGTATTAGATTGAGTAGTAGTAATATTCCCATCAATATTATAGTTTAAAATGAGTTATAAGCAGTAAATTGTGGAAAGATCACTTGGAGGTAAACATAATTGTGAATTGAAAAATATCCAGTATGCTATACTTATTTATGATTTATTGAATTAATCAATACGTTTAACTTGTGATTAAAACATTATACTGCATTAGTTTTGCAGCTTAAAATTGTTACAGTTGTCTGTCTGTGCTCTTCCGGTTTTTAATCCGGAAAAGAGAATATTATTGGGTGGAAAAGGAAAAAACCAACAACGGCTCAATATTGCTACCTGCTGTATGAAGTCGGATGTATGCGTCTTTTAGTGCGATTCGCACTAGCGATCTTCCTTTGCTTAATACTCATTGCTGTTTATGAATACTCGAACATACGTCAACGTGTTATTTCACGTAGTGATCCAAAAACAGGTTTCCATAATGTTTAGTTTTAATGGATTAAAAAGTGCCAATCAAATTAGGAAATTTCATTAGGAATTACTGATCAATAACTGGATGTAACAGCAAATATTGGAGTAAACCGTAGAAATTTTAGAGAAATTATTCCGTTGCATTGACAATTCAAAATCAGGATTTTGAAAAACAAAAGAGCAAAAAATTTGATATCTTGCATTTTTAGATACAGATGAAGTAGTCCGTATATTGCTTATGTCGGATGATCCAACATCTAGCTGGGAAACAAACGTAAATGTTACGTTCAACGTGATCGTGGTATTAATTATTTCGCTGCTCAGTATCGCCTTGCTTATTACGGGTTAGTATTGTGATCTTTGGAATAATAATTTATGTAGAAATTAATTATTAACGCAATGATATTTATGTATGCAGTGGATAAAGGATATAAAGATTATCAATGTTACCTGATAACCCTTATATTCTTTATCCTCTACATAAAGATTACTAGTAATTTTTATATCTTATATCATCTATGTAAGTAAAAAATTTCCCAATGGATGATTCGGAGATTTTTTTAGTAATGTTTTATTTGAGAACAGTTTTTTTTTGAGACAATTATCAAAAAATAATGAAGAATCTGAATTGAAGTTATAGTAAATACTAAAATAAATTTATAATAATTTAATACAAGATTTTAGGTATAATTGTGATTGCTCTAACATTAGATTCATCGGTAATCGATAATGAAAATGGTGATTTGGATGAGACAACAACTAATTTGCGGAAGAATGAAACGGTGAAATCGAATTTATTGGATCAAAAAGAAGGGTGTATTTAATGAATCCATATTTGATTTTTTGATTTTTTCTTTCAAATTTGCTTCATAATAACATTTTGACATCATTAATGTCATTACATTATATGTAATTCTATCAATATATCAGTTCAAAAAAAAAAAAGGAAAAAAAAATTTCAGATTTGGACACCACAATTTTTGTCGTCTGCGGATCGTTTGCTGCCACAAATAGATATCATCACAAATCTGAACAATTATTCAGTTTCATCTGTAAATGAAATATAATTGTAAAATATCACCTACTTATCAGTTGCGATTTTTTTCCCTCTTTTGCTCTCATGTGATATGTACACAGTTGCTATATCGTTTTGTATAATTCTTTTAAAACATCCATGACATTTCATATCTCAAATTAAAATTTTGATATAATCTTTCTTGTTATTTTGCAATATTCATTACTAAATCTTAAATTTTCGCCTGCATATCAGGTTCACTATCGCAGCAAATTCATTTTGAAAACAATAAATTTGAGAGGATTATAGAATTAATTCCACGGGAAAAATCCTCCATCGAACACGGTTAACGTAAGTTTTATTATTTCCATCTATCGAATAGAGTTAAGCATAAGTTTCATGATTCCCACTCATTAATTAATTAAATTTCGCTAGAGAGATGTTGTGAGATCAGACTAATAAATAACATAAAAGATTAAAAGACTAACAATCTTAGAAAACATTTGAATATAACTTTCCAAATTACCATTAAACTTATTCGATCTTGTTTAATTTTAAATAAGTCTTTCAGAGTGAAAATTCATTTAAAATTTAGTGTTGCATGCTCAAATTAATTTTAGCCTAAAACGATCAACGCGAAGGAAAGTTTTTTTTTTTTTTTTTATTATCCTCTCCTATAAATGCCTTTAAATATTTTGCTTTGTGACGATACAGTATGCAATATTTGAACACTTTTAGAATCCAAGCAAGAAAAACGAATCGTAAAATTTGAGATGATGTATATGATAAGAGAAAATTTGGCTTTATTTTTCTTCAGAAGTTTCCCAAATGTAATACATGGAAGAAATGAGAAAATGAAATATTTCTTATTTAATTGAAATTTTGCCATTTTAAATATTAAAAAATAAAACATTAAAAATTTTGCTATTTAATAATAATAATATTTTAATGTTATACAACGATAAAATTAGAACGAAGCATGACAAGAAGAAGCATAAATTCGCGTTTTCATTAATTCCATCAGAAACTAATTGAAAGGTTGATTTTTGCGATTCTTTTTTTGATTAAAAAGATTTTTTCCTGAGAGTTGCATTATAGGATAATTTCAAAACAAAATATATTTGATAAATCTATGATTATTTTCAAATTGCTCCCTCTCGTCAAGCTTCTAATGATAAATTTAAAAAAAAAAAATCGTAATACTATTGTAGCACTCGGTTAGGGCAGTTTCACAATGATTCATAAAATATGCGCACATTCCTAAATTTCATTTTAAAAAAATGATAGCATTATCGCTTCCTGCGGAAGTCATACTCCGGAAGATCGCCACGTTTTGCAACACTTTCCATATCTGGAAATTGCGAAAGATGGAATGTTGATGGAATAATAAATTTGCTTTTATATGGATGAAAAATTTTTAATTTACTAATTATTTAAAAATTATTTCAAAATATTTAGTGCAAATTTGAAAATAACTACATGTGCTTACCAAACTCTTCTTGCTGGCAAGTTGCACCAAGATATCCTGGAGCACAACTACACTGACCGGTAACTCGATCACATGTTGCACCATTATAACATTCACATCGATGTTCACAATTTTTTCCATAACGTCCCGGTCGACATGCTACAAAAGCAGAAATCATTTTCAGGTTGAAAAATCAAACAGTTATAAAGTTAATGCATTTATACTGTAATCCACACTATATATATATATATATATATAAGTAGATTAAAATAATTTTTCTTGCATAGCACTAAATGAAACTGTATATTCAATCGGCAGTTTTCTTTAAAGCTATCTGAATTTTAGATTTGAGCCATTGATTCAGTTATAATGACTGGTGAATGATTGAACTTTCAGTGCAGGATTGAATTACATCAGGTCCTATCCTCAGAATTAGCAAAATCATGTATTATTAATAGTTTCTTTGAGCAAAATATACCTTGTTTACATTTAGCACCATGTAATCCTAAAGGGCAATCGCATTTTCCAGTTTCTGGATCACATCGGAATTCATCACAATCACAAAACAATTGACAGTGTGGGCCGTAGGTATTGTTAGTACAGGAACGTTCACACTAAAAAATTTGAATTAATAAAATTAAAAATTGAATATTTCGATTACAGACAATTATTTCTAAATTTATTCTTATCTTAAATTAATGCTTTCATTTTTCGTAGAGAAAGAAGAAAGAAAATACTTCGGACAAAATTATATATTTTTCTCTAACACTTTTATTTCTCTAATCACAAAATCAACAACTATCTGTTCTCAATCAAACTTTTAGGTTTTATAACTGAAAACATTATTGAAAACTTGATAAAACAGTTTACAACGAATACAGTAATACCTGCTTGCCAAAATATCCTGAAGGACATCGACATTGACCATCACTGGGATCACATGTTGCGCCATTCTGACAATCACAACTCTGACTACAATACCAACCATAAAAACCAACTGGACATGCTGCAAATTTTTTACAAATTTTCAATATGACATTTTTTCAATCAACAGTATAATTGGAAGTGTTATTCCAAGACTTCAAATACTATTTTCAATAGTTGAACTCTCTTCCAATGATTGTTTAATTCCAAAATTGAATGTAATTTAGAGATTATTGCTGTTTGAGTTTAAAAATTCATCCAAAAATTCCATTTATCTAATTAATTCAAAATAAACAGTTGCACTTGACATATCTATCTTCTATTATAGATTCTCTATAATCAAGCGAAACCGGGGTTACAATATTGCGGGTGGTCAATAATAGAAGAGTTTTCTTTTTTACTTTGAATATCAATGCTAATTGAACAAAATGAAAGCATTTGAGAAAACGTACTGTACTGGCAACGAGTACCATAACGACCTTTTGGACAATCGCAGCAACCTTGCACCGGATCACATTTAGCACCACCGTGACATTCACAGTCTAGCGTACAATTCCATCCATATTTTCCATCTGGACAGGGTTGATCACAAGTAGTTCCGGTATATCCCAATGAACATCTACAATAATGAGTTATCACTGCTGTTTCTAAAAGAAGATAATTGCCATCAAAAATCAAAAAGATATCTCATTTAATCTACAATAACAGTTTGTCCATCAAAAAGTTATACTGTAGCATTCTGTACATTAATTCAACATAGAATTCCAACAGTGAAATGTTATTTACTGAAATTCTACACTTTTTCAGTGAATAAAACAATTTATTAGCATCAATAGTATGCATACCTGCAAGCTCCAGTTATTGGATCACAATGCGCCTGATTAGCGCACCGGCATTTTTCGCGACATCCAGGCCCGAAACGTCCCTCAGGGCATACTTGTTGACATTGCAAGCCGGTGAAACCAGCTGCACAACGACACTGACCTGTCACTCGATCACAAATACCTCCATTCTCACATTGGCAAAGTTTTTCACATTTTTCACCAAATCGATTCGTAGGACAGGATACCTCACACTTGGTACCAACAAAACCTGGCGGACAAATGCACTGTCCAGTTATTTTATCACAAGTACCACCGTTCATGCACTGACAATTGCCATCACAATTCATGCCATACCGTCCTTGGATACAACTTAAATTAGAATCATAATTAAAAATAAATTAGAATCAAAAGATAAATCTGAATTAGTCTAATATTGTTACTGTATCATGAAATTGCTGCCTGCAAAACCTCAGTTTATACAGTATTCCTGATACTGTCACATCTGATACGATAGCGAATTGATTTTCAATTTGTTTTAAAGTGGAAAAAAATTTGAATCACTTATTTTTGTGGTGATGAACAATTTAAAAAAGCAAAAATTTATTTTAAAAAATCAAAGTAATTATGGAACTTATCTTGAGCACAATCAACACCTACATATCCTGGCTTACAAAAGCATTTCCCGGTAATGGGATCACAATTAGCATTCGGTGCACATTCGCACTGCTGTGCACAATTTTCACCGAATGTTCCAGGAGGACAAAGCTCGGTGCACGAATGACCGGTGTAACCGTTAAGACAATGACAACGACCGGTGATATGATTGCACGGTTTCTGATTTGGACATCGACATGCTGAGGCACAATGCTGTCCATAGTAGCCTTTTAGGCATGCTGAAACATACTTTTGTAATCTAAATGCATACAATCTTCTCATCTCTTTGAGAATGAAATTTTACTTTACAGCTAACTGTTTTTCTTACCAGAATTCTTGCAACTATGTCATTATGCACTCATTATATTTAGAATTTAAATTTTAAAAAAAAATTTTTCAGGGAAGAATCTAAAAGATTTCCAAGAAAAGTCTATTTACGTCGATTGCATTTGCGACCTCGCCAACCAGGAGCACAATGACAATGGCCACTGATTGGATCGCAACTTGCACCATTTTCGCATAAGCATAATTCTTCGCAGCGTTCACCAAATAAACCATGAGGACAAATGCGCTCGCATCTAAATTTAAACTTCAAAAATTAATATCATTGAGCGCGCATTGGGATGATTTAAATTGCATGAAGAACGAATGGTTTACCTATGCATGCAGGGAGAGACTTGATCATGGAGTGGAAAATTTTTAAAATAAAATTATGCCAAAATAATCGTAATATTTGAAACTTCAATAAAATAAGATCCAAACAAAAAATACAGTACCACATACCTTTCACCAATGGAACCGGGTAAACACTGACAACTACCATCTGTACGGTTGCAACTTGCACCTCGCATACAATTACATTCTTGCTCACAATTTATTCCGTACTGTCCAAATGGACACACTAGAAGGATAATATAACGTGAAATTTTCCACAATAGACAAAACGGTATTATAACTGAAGATAATCTTGACTTAAGAAAATATTTGGAGCAAAAAAAAAAACACCTAAAGAGATGGATGGAAAATGCAAAGAAAATATGAAAAATATTTATCAATATAATAATTATAATATCATTTGATCATTTGTAGTAAAAATTTTCAGTGACACCGCAAACTTCAACTCTTTGTTAAAACTGAGTAATATTTTTTGGACAGAAAGCTTACTGAATTCACACGCAGGACCGGTCCATCCAGGTGCACATTTACAGGTACCATTCCTAGGATCGCAAGTACCATTATGCATGCAAAGACAATGGTTATTACAATTTGATCCATAACGGTCGGATGGGCATTCTGTTAACAAAGTAACACTTTTAAATAGTAATTATGGAATGGAATATTTTAATTTGCATGAACAATATGAGTTCTAAGTGAAATAAAAAATTTACCTTCTTCGCAGTGTGGTCCCATAAATCCTGCTGGACAATCACAATTCCCCGTAAATCGATCACAAATTCCACCGTTCATACACCAACATTCCTCTTTACAACCAATACCCCACCTGAAAATTATTTCAACCGAGATCATGGATATGATGACAGAAGCATCCGAAATATTCTTGAATGCCTAAAGTTTGTGGACAATTTCAAGTTGAAAATTTTTTTTTTTTTTTGATAGTTGCTTATCCTTAAATAATCTATCGGAAAGATTACAATAGGTTGATCTCTTACAACAATAAACGAAATATGAAAAAGTCTTAAATTAAATGATTAACTGAAATTCTGCCAATCAAATTTTACTTACAGTATAAAATATAATTATGGTAATATAGTAAAATTAAACAATTCCAAATTGGTTATAATGTTATTCGCCAGTTTTCCATAATAAATTACCTATTGGAAGGACATGGTGTTCGACAATTAGCTCCAGTCCAACCTTCGCTACAAAGACATTCACCGGTTACAGGATGGCATTTCAAGACAAATGATGCCATTTCGATGTCATCTGAGAATAAAAACCTCCAACTATTAGATTTTTTTTAACACAAAGAGAAAGAAGAGAAGAAGAAAAAGATGACAATCCATAAAAAATTTAATTAATAACTGAAGGCACTAACCAAATGATGAGCAATTGCAGACCTTTTTACAACCATCACCATACCGTCCATCAGGACACGGTCGATCACAGTGCTGACCACGCCAGCCAGGCTTACAGTTGCAAGCACCATTGATCGGATTACAAGTAGCATTATTTCGACAAATACACATACCCTTACAACGATTACCAAAATAACCTTCCTCGCATACTAAAAAAAGATTATTAATATGATAAATGAATAAAAAAATTATACTGCAGAGAATGCAAAAATAGAAGTAGGTATTCTATCGTTTCATAATAGATCTAACCTGAGCAATTCAAATCAAAACTGGATGACTTGGATAAGTTGCAATTTCAATTTGAAAAATAAAATTGGAATTAAATTTAATTTTGAAGTTTATGAGTATAATGTATAATAGATTTAAAGCTATTTTCAGAACATAATGCGCTACCCTGGTTACTGAGGTCATATTTTACAAACTTAAGTGCACTACAACCATACATAGGAGAGCCAATGGCTATTTCAATAACAAATCGTTATTCTTTGTCTCATTTTAACTTTCCGTAGAAAAAGAACCATGGTCAAGAATCGGACTTTTTTTTTTTTTGCTCAAAATATTGAAGCACTTACGTAGATCACAACTCTTCCCATGATATCCCGGCAAACATATACATTCCCCGTCAGTTGGATCACATTGCACTCCTTCATCGCAGCTGCATCGTTCACTGCAATTGATACCAAAATATCCTTCTGCACATGGTATATCGCATTTTTCACCACTCCAACCGGTCAAGCATTTACATGAACCATTTGAAGGATTGCACTGAGCACCATTATAACATTCACAAAACTGCATACAATTTAGACCAAAACGATCACTTGGACAAACTGCAATTTTAATTTGTAAAGCAAAAATTGAAATTAAATTTAGTTTTGAAATTTGCAATGCAATGACTTCAAGCAAATAATAAAATTGTTTCATCTTATTGGCCAGCACATATATGTTTTATTCTTGCATAATAATTTTATTGTTTGCATCAGGCAAGCAATAAATCCATATTAAATTTGCATTTCTATCTAATTTTAGTATTGTTGATTTAGAGCAAGAACACCAAAGTTCGAAGTTCATGGCTGCTTATCAGCAATTAAATTTTAATTTACAACTATGCTAGTATCGTCAATTTTGCATTTTTCTTTACTTTGAAGTTTTCAACGAGTCGCTTATTATGCATAATATTTTCTCCAAAATAACCACTTAAAATTCCATTCTTTGCCTTTTTTTTTTTAATTTGAATTCACTTAAGACTTTGTTTTACCGCTAACATAAGATATTTTGGTATAAATGTAGTCCTGCTTGAAATATTACTTTTAAATTTTCAAGATATCTTCTTGCAACATGAAATGAATGGTTAACTTGGTACGTTTAATTGCGAATAAAATACCTTCACTGCAAGCAGCACCATAATATCCAGCTTCGCAAATACATGAACCATCTTTATTGTTACAAGTACCATTATTTTTACAGGAACATTCGTGCTGACAATTGGGACCGTATAAACCTTTAGGACATGCTGAAATAACCTAATTTCATAATTTATAAGTAATTGAATTTTAGTAGTTGGAAATGATTTGTAAGTAATTGCTATGAAGTGATTACTTACATAATTAGACCAACAATGAAATCACTACGAATTATAATCATCTAAATTCTCGGCTGGCTAAGCTCATAAAACAAATAGCCAATCATGTTCGTAGTGATTTGGGAAAGAATAAATATTAGTTTTGTAAAATTATATTATAAAAAATAATTTATGGAAAAAATACATACTGTTAATTAGTCATTCACTTATATAACTCTTTACCAACAACACAGTACACGTAATTAAAAGTGACATGCAATCAATGGATGGAATGAATTTATACTCGTGCTTGCAAACATTACTTAACTTAACTTGCAAGCAATCAAATTTTTGCATGAAATTTCCACGTGCATTTTATCATACATGCTTTGAAAAATTCTCAAAAAAAAAAAAAAAGAAACGAAAATGAAATTTGATCAGCTCACTTTTTTCACATAATACACCGTAATAACCAGGTTTACATGTGCATGTTCCGGTAACATGATGGCATATTTGAGATGCACCTGATTCGCATGCACATTTTTGGGTACAGTTATATCCATATGTACCGATAGAGCAAGCTAAAATTATTAAGAGAAAAATTTATCGTATTCATTAAATTTGTTTTGCATGCATATATATTGCACGTTGTTTGTGTTCACTTTATGCCAGTATACGTTCTGAGGCATACGACTGATACGGAAATAAAATATACAATTCCAATATTCATTCAGTTTGTGAACAAAAAAAAAAAGATCATGAAACTTGAAAAATAAAATTAAAAAAAAAGTTTTAAGGGACAATATTTGTTGCACACATGCAAAATCAAACAAAATTTACCAGGGCAAAAAAAGTGATAGACGAGAGTAGCAGTTAGCTAATATTTATAAACTTACGGATTTGGCATTGATCACCTATATATCCTGGACGACATTTTTTAATACAATTGCCATTAGTAGAATCACATTCCTGATTTTCAGCACAGTTACACTTTTTGGTACAGGACTCTCCGTAGAAACCAACCGGGCAACGTCGCTTGCAGAATGGACCATAGAAACCACTTTTACAAATGCATTTACCAGTCTGTAAATCAAGTTTCCATTACTTCAATCAATTTCCTGATTGTTTCCGGTTGTTATCTGTCATTCATATATCTTTCCACTCCTACCTGTTTGGTATATTAGCATTCTATCCCATTTGTGTTATTTGGCATAAAATATGATAAGAAGTGTTTATGATAAATTTAAAGTATAATAGCATATTCATACCTTTGGTTCACAACCTTTTGAGTATTCTTTCTCGCAATTGCATACATGGCGACAGTTACGACCATAGTTAAATCGTGGGCAAATTTGATCGCATTTTTCACCGTAATAACCAGCTGGACAAGAGCAATATCCGTATTTCCGATCACATCGTCCACTGCTACAGGTCATCTCACATGGCAAATTGCACGATTGTCCATAAAAACCTGTGCTATTGTTCATTGGCAAAAAGTTCAAGTAAAGCGATAATGCGGAAAATAATAAAATAATGTGCAACGAAATAAATCTAAATTTACCTGAAATCCTTGCTAAAAATAAAGAAATTGTCATTAGCATTATTTCCTTCTTCTTAATGGTTGAAGCTAAATTTTAGCTTCCCAGAAAAATATTTGTTATGTTTAAAAAAAAAAGGAACTGTAAAGATGAACCAGCCGGACAGCTATCATCACATTCGGCACCATCCGGACAATCACATTCACCAGTAATATGATTGCAAATTTGTCCATCACATTCGCACGCTTTTTTGCAACCCAATCCCCAGGTACCTTCAGGACATTGATCCTCACAAATTGTACCCGTATAACCGGAAGCACAATCACAACCGGTCTTGTTACGATGACATTTTCCTATAAAAATACATAAGTAAATGAATATCATAGAGAAGTAATTTTTATGAAAATTTAAAAAAAAAGCGAAAAAAATGAATGGATGAAAAATATAAAATGTTGACGTAATATCCATGATCCATAAAGTTTTAAATATTCTAAAAAGCACAACTGAACTGAACCAACCTCCATTTTTACAATCAGAACATCTATAACGACACTCTTCTCCAAAGCGGCCATATTCGCAAGCTACAAATGAAAAAAAAACATTTAAATTGAAAAGGGCAATTTTTTTAATTCAATAAAAATGGACTAATAGCTTTTTTTTTTTTGTTGACTACAGACGATACGATGACAATAAGAGCCGAATGTTACAACTACAACAATTACCAATGATGAATAGTTGCAAAAAAATAAATAAACATTTTCGCTTCTTTTTATAATCCTGTTTTTTTTTTCAACGATTTTCAGAATATCGTATACCGGCGTATCAATAAGGTTACAGGTCATTCTGACACGGTAAATTTGCGCGAAGATCCATAGGATCCTTCTAAACTGTGTACCATACAACGAATCACAAATAAATAAACAAGCATTAGCATGCTTTTGTTCAGGATATCGGTACCCATTTTTCAGTGATTAAATGAATTCACATATTTTCAAATAAATAAAATTCACTGAAATAAAAAAGAAAAAAAGAGCTATTATTGACCAGTAGGAAGACTGTGTAGCATACGCATTGTACCAAAATGTGATAGTTTGGAAAGATCGTGCGGTATGCTTTCATCTTCCGTTTGCAGTTCATCTTCCATTATATCATTGTATTTTAAATGATCAGCTAATAATGCTATCCCTGCTAAATGCTCTGAAATTGGAAATCACAGAACAAACATGCATTTAAATTCACTGCTAACAATATTCATTGCAAATAATGGAACTTTCACATTTTGCAAAATCAATAAGATACAAACTATCAAGGTTGATTTACTTATAAAGTAAATCCCTTTTTTTTTTTCATCTAAAATAATGATTTCTTTAAAGTTTGAAATATTTATATATCAGATGATGCTAATTTAATTAAAATTTATGCTTGATAATTAGAAGAATAAGATTGATAGTTATGCATGCAAACACAAACACTACAAGTAATACAATTGACAGTCAGTATGAGTATTGTAAAGTTACACTTAGGTATACATACGTCTGATATTATGAGGAACTGAATCAAACAGCGAATCTGATAGAAGTGAAGCTGAAATGTTAAAATTCTAAAAATGAACTACTTGAAAATTTTAAAGCTAATGAATTTATGATGTGATGTCAATGTAAATTAGCGAAATAAATACAAAAAGTGATCATTGATCAGAGGGAAAATATTACCAATGCATGTTTTGCCATCTTCTGCAAGACTGAAACCACGAAAGCACTTGCACTGATAACTACCTTCCTCATTTTTGCATAATTGACTGCATTCACCGTTATTTATTAAGCATTCATTAATATCTGAGCAAAAATTGCCATTATTAAATTTCACTCAAATTTCAATATTTTAATGCAATGGAAAAGTAAGTATGCAAATGCGTGTTGCATGCGGAAAATTAGATAAGACTTTCTTAGCTGATGTTTATCAATTACTGATAAGAGCTATTAAAAGTCATGGACTATTCTTTCCTTGCTTTTGCAAGTTTTTACTTATCTTTTACTTGTCATTCGTAAAATTTAGAGTATATTCGTTGTTATTACAAGTTTTAGTAAAACTTGGAAAATGATACCAACGATGAATAAAAACTTTAACTTCTATATTTTATTCGACCCATCATAAAGCTTTAATATCACCATCATATTGTCATTACTGTTCGATGTCTACACTAAAATAATTTTTATGTTGCTTAATTTTGAAATGAAAAGAAATGAACCGTGACAGGCATGGCTATCAGGTGCTAAGTTATAGCCAACTTCGCATGTACACGTATATCCACCCTCTTCGTTGATACAGTGATGCTCACAACCAGCATTATTTGCGATACATTCATTAATATCTGCAAAGATATGATTAAATGACGTAATTAGTTGAAGATAAAATAGTTTGATAAGATATGATATACTTATCAATGTACTATACGATAGGAGTAACCTTCACAAGTTCTGCCATCATAGATGAGTAGAAAGCCAGTTTTGCAGGAGCAATGATAACTTCCAGGTAGATTAATGCAGAGTTGTTTGCAGCCACCGTTGTTATCAATGCATTCGTCAATATCTGAAAGGAATCACACTTTACAGATTTTAACTTTTTTGAATCTTGCAAATAGATTCTCGGAACTTATTAGCAAGCTCTTAGCTGTTATATGCACAAAGCTCTTACTGTATAATATGTACAAGAATGAATTAATTTAACACAAATGTGCACTTCTATTTTGCTATAACATTATACATCCAGTAAATACATCTTAACATCTATGCAAATCAACTTAGTTATAAATTTAATATTATAGTAATACATGTACAGTAAACTGAACTTTAATAGTTATGTATATTTGTTTCAACGATATTTTGCATACTGTTTAGGATGTTACAATATAAAATTGCTTCTTGCATGATCATAAAAAATTGTTTGATTGAATAAATTACTCCATTTTAATGTTATTATCATCAGTTCTTATGAGGAATTATCATGATAAAGATCAAGGAAACTTTACCAGAGCAAGATCTACCATCGCTATCAAGTTGATAACCACTTTTGCAAGAGCATTTCAGGCTACCATTCTCATCACCTTCGCATATATGCTCACATCCTCCGTTTCTTTCCTATAATTTTGGCTTATCATAACATTCATATCCAAAGTAATTTCCATTTATTTATAGCAAAAAAAAAAAAAATTTCTATTCACATCAAAGTTTAACGGAAAATTTTTAATTAATTCCATATATGGATCACTTTTTTATATATATGTAGTACCGAATGATCATATAAGCTAACCTGACACGGGTCAATTACTAGCTTACATTGGCGTCCATCTGATAGTAACCGATATCCACTGCGACAACGACATCTTCATGTGGTAATTTTATTTATTTAGTTTAATGTATACTGTTGACTAATCAGCTTATAACTACTACAAAATAAATCATTTGCACCAGAAATATCTAATTAAAAGCTTAGCATTATCATATTTCGAATTCCAATCATCAATTCCTAACTGTTACTATTTGATTAGACAAATGAAAAGGTAACAAAGAAAAAAAAAGAAGGAAAAATAACAATTCCGTTTAGTTGCGATTTCGAATCATCACGGTTTGCATCATAAACTGTGATACTTCAGATACAGCAACAATTTTTGTAGAAATAAGAATTCAATTTCTTTTCTTCTTCTTGTACTGTGATACAAGCAGATAATTCGTATTTATTTATCCATTTTTGCATTTTAGAAAAAAAAAAATTGGATTTGCAATACCTGTATGTTCCATAAATGTTAACACATTCATGCTCACATTTTGAAGTCATCATTGTGCATTCGTCGATATCTGCAAAAAATTTCATTCCATTTTTGTATTTATTTTAAAATTTTAGACTGATGATAATGGTGATGATGATGATGATGATGATGACGATGAAAACAATGAATTGTTAGAAAGGATCGAATTTAAACAATAAGATAGATATGTGATTTGAATCATTAGAATACTTTTCAATCGTATGTTACCATAACATTATGATATAGTTTACAACTTTAAATGTCCAAAGTTTTTATTTATTTTCAAATATCTAACGGACCAACGCATGATTTCTGATCTGATCCGATTCTGAGACCATGATAGCATTGACATACGGCTCTTCCGTTATCATTCATGCAATGCTGCTCGCAACCACCACGATTTATCATACATGGATCGATCGCTGAAATGCTGAGCAATAGGAATAACATTTGATTGCAACTTTAAGGTTAGGTATGCAGCTTTGAGGTTAAGTACGCTAAATTTAAAATTATAATGTTGTAATGATGCAATTAATTTGATGAAAAATCATGGCATTTCCAAAACATTCTATCGTTGAGTAACTTATAGCTTGCCCAACATATTTTTCGAATTACAATTTCGGTATTTAATTTCTCGAATACAATGCAATAATTGAAGCATATTTGCAGGATATAGTCGAAAAAAGAAATAAAATAAGGCGAAGAGATATGAGGGAAGGATATCAAAATGACCAATACTGTAAATCCCTTCCTCCTCGATGGCTTATCTTTAAACATTTCTATCTTTCAAGTTTTCAAGATAATTTGAGAGAGTTTGGAAAATGCAAACTGTCAATCGTCACGTTTTCAAGATAATTTGAAAGATAAAATTAGCGTTTCATTCTCTTTTTTAAAATCGTTTTACCATTTTTTTTTTTTTTGAAAGTGATTTGCTGGGAAAATAAATGATTTTTATTTGCTCTATTTTCCCTTCGTAATGTTGTTTGTCATCAACTGGAAAATTTGAAGAGAGAGAGGGAGGACAATGGAAATGAATGAACAATTGTGTTCAGGTTGAACAATAGACAGTAGCAAGCTTAGGCTTAAGTTATATTAAATTATTCAAAAGAAGCTTTTGTTTATTATTTCCTCCTCCACCTTCCTCTTATTCTTCCACCTTCGAAATCTTTACCCTTATAAATTTCAACAAAATAAATAGCCTTAGAATGACTTTGAACTTAGAATGACTCACTGGCTTTCCAAAAATAAATTGTGAAATTTTAGTCGATTTTATGCTTGTAAAAAAAATTTGTGCAAATTTATGCAAAATACTAAATTGTTAAAATTAAAAAAAATTCTTTTCAATTAAACGAAATTTCCTCTTATCTTTTCTCATGAAATAGTTCACAATGAACTTCAAAATTTATTGATATCCAAAAGTACATTTATTTCCGAGAAACCCTAAATAATGCATTTTATAATGCATTTTATATTTAATTTTGTGAAAAAATTTCACAATTGCTTTTTTTTTTCCAAATATTGACTTACGGTGGCAACGCCGTTTATCGGCAGCTAATTTGAATCCCTGCCGACATTTGCATCGATGAAATCGTCCATGTCTTTCTTCACAGATATGCTCACAACCACCGTTGTTTGTTGCACAAATATTTCGACCTGAGGAAGATTAAAGAACTTTTTCCAATTTCAATAACTTTATGAATATTATTGTCGTATTCAGTTTGAACGATTTTCTGCAAACCACTTAGCTGAGCCAAATTTTTCATTTATGATAAAGAAATGAAGGAATGAATGTATTTATAAGTAGGAATGAAAAAAAAAAAAATAAATGCTAGTGGAAGAAAGGGAAAGAAGACAGAAAGAAATGCTATCAAATAGTTTGAAACGAGAAGCGAAATAATGATGACAGATGGCATACATGATCAGTAATTATTTTATATCAAATTTTCATATCTGTCATATAAACAAAGACTTATCTAATCATCATTAGTGATCAGTTAATTCTCGTTTAAGGCGAATTGATCATTTGAGTGACAAGATCAATCAATTTCAATCTTTTAATGACTCGATTATTTACTTCTAATAAATGCTAACAGAAATTATTATTATTTTACTCGGCCTCAATTATTATTAGTTGATTTTTACCATTACTTTACTTAATTATTATTACTTTATTGTTATTATTATTTTACTCGTTTTCTTTCATTTTATTTTATTTTTTTATCTAAATGCTTTTCTGCAGATGTTTCGTATCAATAATCACTGCTTATTGTTATTGCTCATCCATCGGTCATTTTGAATGATTCCATTTACAAGCAATTTTCATGTTTCCACTTCTCTCTTTCTCTCCCTTTTATCTATTCCTTCCCTTTCATTCCTTTCCCTTTCTCTCTCTCTCTCACATACTTCTTTCTTTTCCGTCTTTAATTTATACAATCGTCCTCAAATAATTCTTTCGGATTCTGGCAAAAAAAAAAAAAGTTCCAACACAAATAACAACAAAGAAAAATGTTCGAAAATTTTGCAAAAATTCGAAATTTAGAAAATTATGCATAATTACTGATGAACGAATGGTGCTTACAATTCATATTGTCTGTTTCAAGAATAGATCCGTAAACAGCTAACTATCATTGCGATATCGAACTGATGACAATTTCAGTAAAACAATTAAAATCATTCATTTAAATTCAAATTGTCAACAATTTAATTCTTACGGACACATCGACGACCATTTGAATGCAGCTGCATCCTTGGTGGACACTCACAACGATATCCACCTTCCGTATTCAAACATCGAAATTCGCAACCACCATTTTCAAATTGACATTCATCAACATCTGAAATATTGAATTTCAATGAACATTTGAATAACGTGCCAAATTGTCGTAATCTGTTCCACAATTTCGAGAATCTCGGCTGAATCTAACTGATTCTTCTTCAATGATCGAACATTCTTTATTTCTTCTCAATCTCTCTTTTTTTTTTGTATTTAAAAAATGTAAAGCACAGATTACCAATGCATTTTTGATGATCGCTGTCTAACTGATATCCGGCAAAACAACGACAATAAAATGTGCCGATCGTATTGACACACTCATGTGGACATCCACCATTTTTTATCAAGCATTCATTTATATCTAAAATAATATCATTCAATGTGACCATTAATAATTTCAGATACAGTTCCAGGAAACATCGGGAAAACAAGGAGAAATTTGATGTGATATTGGACTTCTAAGCTATAAACTTGCAACTGATGCATTTTACAGTTGTACTGATAGATATTTTGATATTACAGTATCATCTGGTTCAAATGATTTCAGGTATCAAATCAGAAATTCAAATCAACATCTCAAGTTCAACTTTTGTAAATTTGAAAATATAGAGTATTGGAAAATCAATGCGGATCTATTTTTATTTTAAAAAAAAGAAAACAACTGAACTAACATGTAGTAATCTTTAAAATATCCAAATAAACTATAAACCTTACCATATTGACATCGAGCACCTTGAAATCCAGGCAGGCATCGACAAATTTCTTCATTTTTATCCGATGTTGATGGTTGTTGACAGGTACCACCATTATGACATAATTCAGGTGTACAGCTTGCTGCACAGGAAAAATTAAACTTTATTCTGCTTTTTTTTTTCAATTCATTTAAAACGATTACGAATGTGACATTTTAGCTGCGCTATATTTTAATATTATTGTTGATGTTGATGGAGAAATCAAACCTTTCCTCATTCACTCATCAATTTGCTTTTAAATCAAACACATGAAATCCGAAAAAAAATTTACAAAAAAAAAAAAAACTTTGCAATAAAATTCCAGTGAAATTTCGATGCTTAATTTATTTTAGTGTGAAATAGTTTTAACGAATAATATTGTTATTTTTGGCACGGCTAACTATTCCCGAAAACATCCATTTGAATGATGTTATTCGATACTGAATTTCAGGAAATAAGTAGAAGAGAAAGGATTGATATGCTAACCTCGTTGACATCCTTCTTTATCCGGTACCTGAATCCAACCTGCGCAACATTGTGCCGTTGTGTGCCTTCTTGTGCGTGTGACATTTTTATACGTACGATAATAAACTGTTCTAAAATGTTTTCTTTTTTTTTCTCTCTCTCTCTCTCAATTATAATTAAAATCATTTAAGTAGATCTAAAAAAATGATATATAAATGATAGTTTTTTTTTTTTTTTTTTTGTAAATTATCCTTAGTATTATTTTTTTTAACAATCATTGAGAAATTTGACTCCTTTAACAATATATAATTTATTTGAAGTTAAGATTAACTGATTGATTGGTAAGAAATCAACTGATCTTATTTTGATCTAATTTGATGGCTATTAAAATATTGGTCATAAAAAAAAGCCAGTAATGATGGTTTTGATTTGTTGATCTGAACAAACCTATTTTATCCACTTCAAAAATGTTTCTGTAATAATGGAATATTATAATAAAATCGAAATAAATATCATTTCTTTAAAGGCAAACGCCTTTTAGAGTTAAAAAAATTTTAATTCCAAATATTTTCATGCCTTCTTCTTTTAAATTTTTATAAAATCTGCTGAATTACCATAAAAAAAAAATTTTTTTATGCTGTCAATTCATAATGTTCTTCTCTTTCTGAAAAATCGATCCCTCAGAAACTAACTTTATCCTTCCACTTCATCTTTCAGAAAGCCATCGATCAATTCACTAAGGCAATATAATTAATTACTCTAATTATAGGTTAGCAAAAAGGTCAATATCTCGGCACCTGTACTTCTTGCATTGTAGATTTATCAAAACGATTAATCGAAGAAGCACCTCCTGGAAGACATCGTGATATCGCTCATTTATTCTAACTGATCCAAATCACGAGGAAAAAAAAAACTTTCAATAAATTATGATAATCATTGATAACAGTTATCAGTTCTCATTTGTTTGTATTATTCTTTCATGAAAAACCAAATGTTTCTAATCATTGGAAGTAAACTTCACACTCAATTATTTCACACCCCGGAAATATAAAACTTGTAAAAATTTTTTTTTCCTCTCAAATTTTTAATAATTCGATTGATAATGGATGATGAAATTAGTTCGGTAATGGGCTGAAAATTGCGCAGAAAATTTGATGAAAGGAAAAAAGAAAGGAATAATTAGGCAAGCAAATCAATGCAATCAGAGCGAAGGGGAAAGGAAATGGAGAGGAAAAGAAAAGGAAGTTAATGAATGTTGCAGGCGGAAATGATTTATGGGTTCTCGAATTTTTAGTACAATTCTTGCTGGCTTTTATGAGTAAAACAACAGAAATACTGTAAAATTTTGTTCCTAAAATACATATTATTAATTAAATTAATTTTTTTTTTGAATTGACAAGCAGAGATGTTAAATTTAAATTTTAAGAAGCAGTAAAATGCAACCATTTCTCTTTTTATTAAGCTGAAAAGAATGCTATATAAAATTAATGTATTAAATTGGAAGCATATGCATTCATATTGAAAATATAAATAGAAAAAAATTATTAAAGAAAAAAAACAAACTTTGGTTCACGAACTGAACAAGATCGAAATTCTCCATTGCAACCTGGTTTTCGACTTCTAATATATTTTGTATAAGCTTGAACGCATGGCTCACGTACTGTTACTGTTTCAATTTCTTCATGTGGACAAACATTTAACCTAAATAAATAGCATGCTATACTATGATTGAATTATATATAATGCTATAATAATTATCTTATAACTGATGTAATATCAGTATGAAATATTTGTTTAACAAGAAAAAATGCAACGTGCGATTTACAGTGATATCATAACATATCAAGAAGAAAAATAGTGATAACATAGCATATCAAAAAGAAAGACAGTGATATTACAACATATCAAAAAAAAAAAAACAAGATAATTTAATTGCACAAATTATTTTCTTTATCCATTTCCTTATTTCAACAGTGACAAATTGATATTTTTAATTGCATGTTTAAATTTTATAAATTAAATTTTTTTGATAAAATAATAGTATATAGAATAGCTTAGATAAAATATTTATACATTCTATATGATCGCAATAAATTCATAATTACTTTGCGATACCTGAAGAATTTGAATTGACAAGGCCATAATCATCTTTTCTTCTTTTCATTCTTCTCATTTTAATAGCGATAAGTGCAACAATATTGCAACACATCGCTAACAGTCAACAAATTTATTTTAATGCGAACAATTAATTCATTTCCGTAATCAATAATTTATTTTTGTACCGCTAATTATTGAAAGGGAAAAAGTAAAAAATGAAAAAATGACATTTAACTAATTGCATTTGTTTTAAAAACATTTAACATCAATAAGACACCTTTTTTTTTGCACTTTTTTTGTAAATTTTCCTTTGTAATAGCATTTCCAATATTTCTTCTTTGTTTGCATACAATTAATTTCAGGCTTATTCAGATTCTTTTTTATTCATAAAACATCCATTTAAAAAAAAAAAATTTTGAAGATGTAGTCATTTTGAAGATGATCAATTTACTTTATTCTTTCATCATTCCAAAGTTATTTAATATTCAATTTAAAATATTTCCTGAATTTGTTCCCTATCTGATATGATAAAATTTGAAACATTTACTAATTATTTGGCTTTAACTTTTAAGCATTTAACGCTATACATTTATTTAAAATATTTCACAGCTAAGCTTGAAATTATTTTATAATATTTTATTTTGTGAAACGGCTTCGATGTTTATCTTCGAAATTTCACGGATCAATCACCAATCATTTGTTGCACAATAATTTCCATATATATATATATTCTCTCATTTAATGGATGTTTTTTGTTCTCCATTTTCATTTCTTAATCCGATCTTCCATTCCTCCATTCTGCCATTCATTCATTCATTCATTCATTTTCTTCATTATGCCACAAACGACGAAATCCACCATAATATTTTTTTTGTTTTACCTTCCGGTGATTGATGACCCCAATCTCAGATTGTTTTGCTTACTACGAAAAAAATCAATCTTAATCAATCACAATTTCGTTTTTGTTGACTAATCAATTTGATGTTTATTTTAATAGTTATTATTCAACAACAGATACTGTAACTATTTGAAATGTTATAGACAATATAATGATAATGCAACTATGAATTGAATATGATCAGTATTGAATTCTGGAAAAGAATAAAGTTTTGTAATTTGGCATTAAAATTATAATTTTTTAATAAAATTTTGTGATTTGGCATTAAAATTATAATTTTTCAATAAAGTCTTAGTTGCAAATCTTTTTTAGTTTGTTGCTGTCAATTGTTAAATTTTACCGTTCATTTTTATTGCATTTTTACTATTCGCATATAAGTTAAATTTATGTAATTAATTTGACTAATTTTGCTGCTATTTAATAATTAATTCATCAAAATTACACTTATTTTTCAATCATTTTTTCTTCACGCATTGATTAAAACACGATAAATTTTATTATTTTTTGCTTGCCCAGGAAATAGTTTGAATAATTAGCAGAGAATTTTTAACAATAAGAATGAGCAAGAAAACGAGGAAAGATACTTTGATAATAACAAAATTAAAAGGATTATTATACAAACTATAATCTCTTTTTTGAATGTTTTAAAAAAGCCATTGCAAGACTGTTAACTTTCGTTAAATCCTTTTAGTTTGTAAGGAATTAACTGTCATCTATTTGTAAAAGGATTGAGAAAATCGACAAATGATAATTTTACAGTGGTTTTTTTGGGAATAACCTTATATCCAATCGTGCACGTCATTTTTAAAGCCTTACGCACGTCATTTTTTGAACCTCACGTACGTCAATCTGCGTTTTCTTCAGTCAGTGCTTGTCTACTACTAAATCTGAGTGTTACAATGGAATGAAAGAATACTGTCAAGTATAAAGCAATTTCAAAAATGTATAAAGCAATTTCAGAAATGCAGCACATTATATATTTTCTTATTCAATATTAATTAATTAATTAATTAATTAATTATGCACATCAACGTTAGATATAGAACCTTTTCGTAATAAATGAAAAATAATTAAAATGAAAATGCGATGAATATAAAAAGATATGGTCAATGAAGATTTTTACTTCCTGACAAATGATTGTTATTACTTCCACTACCAAAGAAATTAAAATCCTTCTCCACAAATTTTCACTTTAAATTTTAATAAAATTTTGAAGGCTACTTTAAAAGTAACCTTTATAATCTATTTTTGATGCTTACTGAAATAGTAAATTTGTGCATTTTTTGTAATCATTCTTCTTCGTCTTCTGAGAAATTTACCTATAATCATTTTCAAAAAATTAATTGAGAATATTGTCAACGAACTGATGGTAACTTTGTATAATTTATTAATGGAAACATTTAAGTTCAGGAGTGAAAAAAAATGAAGTTGAGAGTGTTGGAATTATTGGCAAAGGCAAACAGTTTAGATTTATTTTGAAGAGGCTGAGAAAATGCTTGAAAATTTTCACTACCAAAATAAAAAAAAATTCGCATTTTGAGAAGCGATGATCCACTGGTGGATAGGACATCTTTCTTACTTTTCCAATATTTATTACTGGCATATAAATTAAGTATATTGATTGACCAATTAAAACTTTACTTTATTAACTCTATCTCTCTTATCTATCCTTTCCTTTTCTTAACTATATCATCATGATAAGTTGAGAAAAGATTAATGATGAATGGATTGATTCTTTTATCTCGAAAAAAAAATGGAAATAGTGATGCGATGGTAGTAATGATGATGATGATGATGATGATAATGATAATGATAATGGTAGTTCAAATGTCAACAAAAATTAACAATGCTAGAAGGGGATAGGTGACAGGATAAGGCGAATAAAAAAGAAGCGATCTGTTTAACAATCTTCTTTATCATGTATGATTGCGCATTGAAGCACATAAAATTGCTCTCCAATTTATTCTTCGATTTTTAATATTTGCATAATTTCGAAGGAAAAAAATCCAAAAAAAAAAAACCAAACAAAATTGTATCAAAAATTGGATTTTGTAAGGATCAAATAGTATGTAAATATATTCATAATAGTTTTATTAAAAGCATTTTTTCTTTGCCTTAAAAATAATTCGAACAAAAGAAAGAAAATGAGAAAAAAAATGAATCATTTCAAGATGCTCATCGGAGAATATCAAACAATTACAGCATTTTCTTGCATTATTTAACTGTCATAAAATACCAAATGAATTTTTAAGTATTCCAGAAAAAAATTCAGTGTCAGAATACAGTAAGTGAACGATTCGATATTTTTTGATAACTCAGCATCAAATTCACTTTAACATGAATTCTGCTTTATTGATCAGAAAAGTTGTAGGAGAAAATGAATGAAATGTTTTTTAAAAAAAAAAAAATGAATAATGTGATATGTTTTAATATCTGATAGCATTCTCTAACGGATAAATGGTATTGTTGTACTCACATCAAAATATGATAGTTAAATGATTTGTAATTTAATTTCTTATTTCGCTCCAATTCAATTCCACTCAATTTTTGCTTTAATTCTAATTTCTATCTTTCCTTGCATCCTGATCTTTGCATTTTTTGCTTCATTTTTCTATAATTTTGAAAATTTGGAAATGCTGCAGAAAGCTGCAGAAACTGAATTGAGCAATTGAAACAATAAAAAATAAATAAAATCCGATAAGAATATTCTATTTTGCTTTTTAATGCTCACGCAAAAGTAATTGTTTAGGTAAGTGATTGTTTATGCAAAAGTATATACCTAAATAATCGTCAATGTGGCTGTTAGAAAAAAAGCCAAATTTATAAATTTTTGAAATTATTTCATTTTGCCGTACGCAAGAGAACGTCATAGTTAGTCTGAGAAATCTAAAAACAAAAAAAAGTGAAATGTTTCTATTTCACTATATTAAACAAGAATAAAAATTGAAAATTGAAAATAAAAATTCAAAGATTCCATGCAATTTTTTTTCTTTTGCATTTATGAAAAGAAAAAATTCAGAAGTAACATTATAAGTATCAGACTAATTGATGTTAAATAAGTGGATATTTGTCACAAAAGTGCTAAGAAAAGAGGTTGAGGTCAGATTTTGTGTGAGATAAACATTTCGGTATCTATTATTGTATAAGGAGGAGAAGGAATAAAAAGGATAAGAAGAAGAGCAATGGAAGTCAATTTTTTTTTAATCTCTATATATTTTGCATGATGATGAATGATAGTTGATGACAACAACCTTTGACCTCAAGTCCATAAATGTATTACATTACCAGCAAAGCGGATAATCCACAAAGACTGTGAATATGAAGTGTTGGTGAATTAAGCAACCTGAACGGATCTAATTTTTTTGAATCATCACATTCATCAACCATTCCTCTAATCATTTGAAATTACACTCTAAAATGAATGCATATTGAAATGCTTTAATATAAGTTGAAACTTTTAGGTCAAATTACATGAAATTTTCAATTTACCATAGGAAAGGGAAGCAATCCTTCAGTCGCTGACCTTCAACTTTCCATAAATCAATCATTTGATGGATGTTTCCGTGAGGTAGCTGTCTGAACGCAATTTAATTTTTTTTTTTTTCAACAAAATCAATTACAACTTTGCAAACAATCATTGTAGAGGAGGATCAAAAAGATGAATTCTTATCCTTGCATATTTACAAAACTTTCAAATAATAATTAATCATCGTAACTGAGAGAAATGATTCAATTCTGACAAATTGGACTAAATTAGATGTTCAGATCTTAAAAAATTCAATCCGAGTATAAATTCTTGGTAGAACTATAATAAACTGTGATGATACATTGAAAGATTATGTCATTTATAAGCAAAAATTACCAAATCGAAATTTATTACATAACTGTAAAGCTGTCAAGTTGATTTTCTATTATCAGTTTTCCTCATTTTTCTGTCATGTCAATTCTTAGCAATATTCTAATTTGACTTGAAGAAAGGAAATTTTGTACTGTAAATAGATGTATTTCTCATAA